GGAAAATTCACTCATTCTCTTTCTTCTGCTCAACTGTCATGAGTAAAAGGAGTGTCAAAGTAGCGAACTGAGATCAACATCGTTCAAGCAGGAGAATTACCGATACCTTCGAGACGCCCAGATTAAATGACAAATATTTGTTGGCTCAAGTGAGTAGAGTTTCGAGACTACCAGTAAATCAGTGTAATGAGATGTATTCACCCTATTTCGTGTAGTAGAATTTTCCCACAATCATATTAGTTGAGCTGACGTTTCCATTGAATTTCACGTAGCCTTGCTTTCCCAAAAGTTGTTCTCCTCCTAGTGACTGCAGTTTCGACCTCGCATCGGTCTTATCAACAACTTTTGGGAAAGCCAGGCTATGTGAAATTCATTGGAAACGTCAGCTCAACTCATATCGTTGTGGGAAAATTCTACTACCAGTCCTTCATCACCTTACACGAAATAGGGTGAATACATCTCATCACACTGATTTACTGGTAGTCTCGAAACCCTACTTTAATACGAATATAAGTAACGTTGTCGATTACTATAGAAAACATATGTTGGCTCAGTTGACAATTCAGCTGTGATTTAAGATCACGTGGCCTATCTTATTTATTATCGAGTAAATCATACAAATGAGTTGTGTTCAGCCTATTTAGTTCAAGGCGATGTAGGACTGGTAGCTGCATTTTCCTACAATCATGTGAGTAGAGCTGGAGGTCATGTCAACAGTCCCAGCGGGAGTCGAACCATTACAGTGCAGCATGCAATCTCGACATCCAATGAGGAAAAAAGTAATGTCGTCGGTTGCTATAGCAAATATATTGGTTTGCTTCATCGACAATCCCAACACAGAATGTGACAGATGATACGATGACAGCATACGAATTATATCATTTGATCGAGCCCCAAATAGGTATTTCCCTGCATTCTATTTGACAATATTCTAAAATAGTTGTCAACCAGTTGTCGTGGCTAATTATTCTCAACCAGAATTGGCTTTAGTCTCCTCACTTAACCGCATAAGCCTGGTTGAAGAAGACATCTCGATCGCTTTGCCAAAAAGGACATCAAGAAAAGGTAAACCAGCTTCCTTTTCCAACTCGATGGTGAATTTTGTCTTCCCATCCATTCTGTTGATGACACGAAGAAAATCGTCCAGGTCTTCTTTTCCACGTTGCCAAGTAGCAAACTAATAATTTGGCGACTAAAAGTGCCTCCTGACTTGAACATTCCTCAAATTGTGTCATGTAGTTATCTGCCCAAATTGGTGACAAACACGATCCCACAGCCAAACCTCGTGTTTGTTTGTGCAGTTCATCACAAAAGGTGAAATTGTGAAAGTGGTCAGAGTCATTGCTGACCATTTACTCAACTTTGTGCTCATCAAAATCTGCTCATGTCGGTCTAGTGTGGATTGCACGGCTTGTATGGCCTCATGTACAGCAATGTTAGTGTGCATAGACTCAACATTGAAACTGTTGGTGTGCCGGCCTTGATGACCTTTTTCTCTCTGCCCCTCATGTCCATAGCCCCGGCTGTCCATCTTCTTCTGCCTCCTCAGAATACTTTCGGCCGATCTGAGGTCCCTTCCGAAGCCGGCTCCGCGTCCGGCCGGGCCGTCTTCTCGCACCAGACCGCAGCGTTCTCCGCTCGACGCGCCAGTCCGCGCCGCCTCGGAGACCTGGTCGGCCAGACACGGCGCACACGCGCCTCCGATCACCGAGACCCTCCACCTCGTCTCTCCCGACAACCGATGGTCCTGTCCCCCTTCGCACGCCCCACCGGCCCCACCGGCCCCGTCGGCCACATCCGCTCGGAGGGCTTCGCTTGCGTCGGCCGAGCTGGCGACAGACGGGACTCAGCTTCAAGCCGACCAGCCCGAGAATTGCCCCAACAGAACGCTTCAGTCGGCCTCCTTCAAAGCGGGCACCAGCAACACGCATTCGTCGGGAAATGTACGTTTTGCTGTGAAATACAGAAGCCCATTGCTACCGGTTTCTTTGCAAGTAAGTTGGACCAAGTTGACCCCATTCGAGTCTACCAAAACGACCTGCCGGCGCCAGTCGAGGGTGGGCAGAAATGGTACAAAGATGAGGCTGCAGATGTGGAATTGAACTCCTCAAACCGACCTTGAGAGGTCACTATCATGTCGGAACAGTCGGTTGGGTAGAATGCATCTACTTGTAACAAACGGAAGAGCTTCGTGGATTGCATGACTGACGTTGATTTGCTGGCCAACTGGAATGTGGGTTGTGTGTGTTTTGTGTGTGTGTGTGTTTGATTGTACATAACTACCCGTATTTATGGACAACGTATGGGTTTCAGAGAATCCCTTTAAAGTGTAATCACTTGGCAACGAGTTGATGCATTGGTCAAAGTGAAATCGAAAGAGGATGAGCCCATCGACGGGCGTGAACGAGTCTGTGGCGTTTGTCTGTCGTCAACAGGTGCAATAATTGGCCGGCAAAGTGTACCAAAGGCTAGGACAAGATAAGGGGCCGTCTGTGCGCCTCTTGCAACCGAAGTTTGTCCCTTGAATGTGGCGTCGCACGATTTTCGATGCGAGTATGCCTTGAGACTATCAGACATTTTGGAGTAGAAACTTAGCCACAACTGCATTCAGTCTATTTCGTTTTAGAGAAGGAGGAATTGGTGGTTCCATTTTGCTACAGTCGTCTTTCCATTCAACTACACGCATGGTTGCTTCACAAAAGGTCGACCTCGCCCAACCTGATCCCATCTGCACCGCCGGCGGGACTCGAACCCAAGTTACGTCGGCGCAACGTACAGTCTCGACAGGCCAACCATCGCGTCGCACCGCCATGGACTCCTCTGGGTTATAGGACAAAGGGGAATTGCATTTCCATTTCACTTTGCATTTCCCACATCACATTTCTGTGGAGATAGTGTCAATGCGGCAATCTCAATGGAAACACTGTTGAGCTGACTTCCATTTCGAGTGAAAGTGTGCAGTTAAGAGGTTCGAAGGTCGCTTCCACCAGAAGACGACGGCCGATTCCTCTTGACCAGTTGTCGATTGGCTTTACTGCAACATTCATGCTGACTGTACATTATCAAAACACGAAATTAAGATTTAGTTGGTCCCTTTTATGTCATTCTAAGTGTTTGTGTGTTTAAATGTCTGTATGTGTGTATGTGTGTATGTGTGTATGTATGTATGTTTGTATGTATGTATGTATGTATGTATGTATGTATGTATGTATGTATGTATGTATG